GTTTGTATATATGTTTGTGTATATGTTTGTATATATATGTTTGGTGTATATATGTTTGTATATATGTTTGTGTATATGTTTGTATATATGTTTGTGTATATGTTTGTATATGTTTGTGTATATGTTTGTATGTATGTTTGTGTATGTTTGTGTATATGTTTGTATATATGTTTGTGTATATGTTTGTATATATGTTTGTGTATATGTTTGTATATATGTTTGTGTATATGTTTGTATATATGTTTGTGTATGTTTGTGTATATGTTTGTATATATGTTTGTATATATGTTTGTGTATATGTTTGTATCTGTTCTGTGAAAACTCCACACTCAACTTTTACTACTTTAACACGAGACATTTTACTGTCCTTAACTGTACAACACAACTCTACACTACACAACTACACACTACACAACTACACACTACACAACTCTACACTACACAACTACACACTACACAACTCTACACTACACTACACACACAACTACTACACACACAACTACTACACACTACACTACACACACACTACACTACACTACACACACTACACACTACACAACTCTACACTACACAACTCTACACTACACAACTCTACACTACACAACTACACACTACACAACTACACACTACACTCTACACTACTACACACACACTACACAACTACACTACACTACACACTACACTACACTACACACAACTACAACTACACAACTACACTACACAACTACACACTACACAACACTACACACTCTACACTACACAACTACACACTACACACACACAACACTACACACACTACACTACACACTACACAACTCTACACACTACACAACTACACAACAACACTACACTAACCTACACTACTACACTACACTACACTACTACACACTACACAACTACACACTACACAACTACACACTACACAACTCTACACTACACTACTACACAACTACACAACACTACACAACAACTCACACACTCTACACAACTCTACACACACAACTACACTACACTACACACAACTACACAACTCTACACTACACAAACTACACAACTCTACACCACAACTACACACTACACTCTACACTAACACTACACACTACACCACACTACACACTTACACTACACAACTACACACTACACACTACACACTACACACACTCTACACAACTCTACACTACACACACAACTACACACTACACAACTCTACACCACACAACTCTACACTACACAACTCTACACTACACAACTCTAGCTCACCTCTCACGGTGATGTTGTGTGTGTAGTTGTGTGTAGTTGTGTGTGTAGTTGTGTGTGTAGTTGTAGTTGTGTGTGTAGTTGTGTGTAGTTGTGTGTGTAGTTGTGTGTAGTTGTGTGTGTAGTTGTGTGTGTAGTTGTGTGTGTAGTTGTGTGTGTAGTGTGTGTGTTTGTGTGTGTAGTTGTGTGTGTGTGTGTGTGTAGTTGTGTGTAGTTGTGTAGTTGTGTGTGTAGTTGTGTGTGTGTGTAGTTGTGTGTAGTTGTGTGTGTGTGTAGTTGTGTGTAGTTGTGTGTAGTTGTGTGTGTTGTGTGTAGTTGTGTGTTGTGTGTGTAGTTGTGTGTAGTTGTGTAGTTGTGTGGTGTAGTTGTGTGTGTAGTTGTGTGTAGTTGTGTGTGTAGTTGTGTGTGTTGTAGTTGTGTGTAGTTGTGTGTGTAGTTGTGTGTGTTGTGTTAGTTGTGTGTAGTTGTGTGTAGTTGTGTGTGTAGTTGTGTGTAGTGTGTGTAGTTGTGTGTAGTTGTGTGTAGTTGTGTGTAGTTGTGTAGTTGTGTGTAGTTGTGTGTAGTTGTGTGTAGTTGTGTAGTTGTGTGTAGTTGTGTGTGTGTGTAGTTGTGTGTGTTGTGTGTAGTTGTGTGTAGTTGTGTGTGTGTGTGTAGTTGTGTGTGTAGTGTGTGTGTGTAGTTGTGTGTAGTTGTGTGTGTGTGTAGTTGTGTAGTGTGTGTAGTTGTGTGTAGTTGTGTAGTGTGTGTGTGTGTGTAGTTGTGTGTAGTTGTGTGTGTTGTAGTTGTGTGTAGTTGTGTGTAGTTGTGTGTGTAGTTGTGTGTAGTTGTGTGTTGTGTGAGTGTTGTGTGTGTGTAGTTGTGTGTGTGTGTGTGAGTTGTGTGTGTGTAGTTGTGTGTAGTGTGTTAGTGTGTAGTTGTGTGTGTGTAGTTGTGTGTAGTGTTGTGTGTAGTTGTGTGTAGTTGTGTGTGTAGTTGTGTGTGTAGTTGTGTGTAGTTGTGTGTGTAGTTGTGTGTGTGTGTAGTTGTGTGTTGTTGTGTGTGTAGTTGTGTTGTGTGTGTAGTTGTGTGTGTAGTTGTGTAGTTGTGTGTGTAGTTGGTGTGTGTAGTTGTGTGTGTAGTTGTGTGTGTAGTTGTGTGTAGTTGTGTGTTGTAGTTGTGTGTGTAGTTGTGTGTGTAGTTGTGTGTAGTTGTGTGTAGTTGTGTGTAGTAGTTGTGTGTAGTTGTAGTGTGTAGTTGTGGTGTAGTTGTGTGTGTTGTGTGTGTAGTTGTGTGTGTAGTTGTGTGTGTTGTGTGTAGTTGTGTGTGTAGTTGTGTGTGTAGTTGTGTGTAGTTGTGTGTAGTTGTGTGTAGTTGTGTGTAGTTGTGTGTAGTTGTGTGTAGTTGTGTGTAGTTGTGTTAGTAGTTGTGTGTAGTTGTGTGTAGTTGTGTGTAGTTGTGTAGTTGTGTGTGTAGTTGTGTGTAGTGTGTGTGTGAGTTGTGTGTAGTTGTGTGTGTAGTTGTGTGTGTTGTGTGAGTTGTGTGTGTAGTTGTGTGTAGTTGTGTGTAGTTGTGTGTGTAGTGTGTGTAGTTGTGTGTGTAGTGTAGTTGTGTGTAGTTGTGTGTGTAGTTGTGTGTGTTGTGTGTAGTTGTGTGTAGTTTGTGTGTGTAGTTGTGTGTAGTTGTGTGTAGTTGTGTGTGTGTGTGTGTAGTTGTGTGTGTAGTTGTGTGTGTAGTTGTGTGTGTTGTGTGTTGTGTGTGTAGTTGTGTGTTGTGTGTGTAGTTGTGTGTGTGTGTGTAGTTGTGTGTTGTGTGTGTAGTTGTGTGTGTTGTGTGGTGTAGTTGTGTGTGTAGTTGTGTGTAGTTGTGGGTAGTTGTGTGTGTGTAGTTGTGTGTTGTAGTTGTGTGTGTGAGTTTGTGTGTGTAGTTGTGTGTAGTTGTGTGTGTAGTTGTGTGTTGAGTTGTGTGTAGTTGTGTGTGTGTTGTGTGAGTTGTGTGTTGTGTGTAGTTGTGTGTAGTTGTGTGTGTAGTTGTGTGTTTGTGTGTAGTTGTGTGTGTGTGTAGTTGTGTGTAGTTGTGTGTTGTAGTTGTTGTAGTTGTGTGTGTAGTTGTGTTGTGTTGTGTGTAGTTGTGTGTGTGTGTGTGTGTGTGTACCTCTCACGGTGATGTTGCGTGCGTCCCGAGCTGCTCCGTACTGATTGGTGGATTCACACTGGTAGTGGGCGGAGTCTTGCAGCTGGGCGGACGATAGGTTGAAGAACAGGAGGTGGGTGGAGTTTTCTCTGTGAAGCTCCGCCCCGTTCCTGCTCAGGACCAGCGTAGGGGGCGGGGCTCCGTCTGACTGACAGGTGAGAGTGAGGCTCTGCCCCTCCAGCACCTGCTCCGGGCTCACCGACAGGGACACGATCTGAGGGGGGGCTGAGCAGGAGAGAGAGCAACAGTCACTGACAGGGACATGCTCTGAGGGGGGGTTGAGCAGGAGAGAGAGCGACAGTCACTGACAGGGACACGCTCTGAGGGGGGGCTGAGCAGGAGAGAGAGCAACAGTCACTGACAGGGACACGCTCTGAGGGGGGGCTGAGCAGGAGAGAGAGCAACAGTCACTGACAGGCACACGTCTGCAGGCGCAACTAAAGGAGGAAACACCAGGACTAAACCGGGACTAAACCGGGATTAAACAAGGACTAAACCAGGACTAAATCAGGTCTAAACCAGGTCTAAACCAGGACTAAACCCTGACTAAACCAGGTCTAAACCAGGACTAAACCAGGACTAAACCAGGTCTAAACGCGGACTAAACCAGGTCTAAACCCGGACTAAACCAGGACTAAACCCGGACTAAACCCGGACTACACCAGGTCTAAACCAGGACTAAACCAGGTCTAAACCAGGACTAAACCAGGACTAGTCTTTTTACTCACACATGAGCTGGACCTGGACTCTGGTCTCTGTGGTCCTCTGGTCTGGACTCAGTTGGGGCAGGTCCATCGTGGCTCTGCAGATAAACTCCAGTTCTTGTTCCTGGTCCAGGTCCAGGTCCCGGTCCCGGTCCGGGTCTCGGTCTCTGAAGTCCGGTCTCTGGGGGGTGTAGTTCAGCTGGGACCGGACCACCGTGGACCCGGAGTCCCCGCTGGTCCTGGTCAGGGTCCGGTTGGTCCTGATCCAGACCAGGTTCAGGAGCTCGGGGGGGTACATGTCCCGGACCTCACAGACCAACGAGGACGGGACCGAGACCTGGACCGAGACCGGACCTGAGACCAGAGGAGCAGACGGAAGNTGTGTAGTTGTGTGTAGTTGTGTGTGTAGTTGTGTGTAGTTGTGTGTGTAGTTGTGTGTGTGTTGTGTGTAGTGTGTGTGTGTAGTTGTGTGTAGTTGTGTGTAGTTGTGTGTGTAGTTGTGTGTAGTTGTGTGTGTAGTTGTGTGTGTAGTTGTGTGTAGTTGTGTGTAGTTGTGTGTAGTTGTGTGTAGTTGTGTGTAGTTGTGTGTAGTTGTGTGTGTAGTTGTGTGTGTGTGTAGTTGTGTGTGTAGTTGTGTGTGTAGTTGTGTGTAGTTGTGTGTGTGTAGTTGTGTGTAGTTGTGTGTAGTTGTGTGTGTAGTGTGTGTGTTGGTGTGTTTGTGTGTAGTTGTGTGAGTTGTGTGTGTTGTGTGTTAGTTGTGTGTGTTGTGTGTAGTTGTGTGTAGTTGTGTGTAGTTGTGTGTAGTTTGTGTGTAGTTGTGTGTGTAGTGTGTGTGTGTGTGTAGTTGTGTGTAGTTGTGTGTAGTTGTGTGTGTAGTGTGTGTGTGTAGTTGTGTGTGTAGTTGTGTGTAGTTGTGTGTAGTTGTGTGTGTGTGTGTTTGTGTGTGAGTTGTGTGTGTGTGTAGTTGTGTGTGTAGTTGTGTGTAGTTGTGTGTGTAGTTGTGTGTAGTTGTGTGTGTAGTGTGTGTGTGTGTTGTGTGTAGTTGTGTGTGTGTAGTTGTGTAGTTTGTGTGTGTAGTGTGTGTAGTTTGTGTGTAGTTGTGTGTGTGTGTAGTTGTGTGTAGTTGTGTGTAGTTGTGTGTGTGTGTAGTTGTGTGTGTTGTGTGTGTTGTGTGTGTAGTTGTGTGTAGTTGTGTGTAGTTGTGTGTGTAGTTGTGTGTGTGTAGTGTGTAGTTGTGTGTGTAGTTGTGTGTGTAGTGTGTGTAGTTGTGTGTGTGTAGTTGTGTGTAGTTGTGTGTAGTTGTGTGTGTAGTTGTGTGTAGTTGTGTGTGTAGTTGTGTGTAGTTGTGTGTGTGTGTAGTTGTGTGTGTAGTTGTGTTGTGTGTAGTTGTGTGTAGTTGTTGTGTGTGTGTGTGTGTAGTTGTGTGTAGTTGTGTGTAGTTGTGTGTGTGTGTAGTGTGTGTGTGTGTGGTGTGTGTGTGTGTGGTAGTTGTGTGTAGTTGTGTGTGTTGTGTTGTAGTTGTGTGTGTAGTTGTGTGTGTAGTTGTTGTGTGTAGTTGTGTGTGTGTGTAGTTGTGTGTGTTGTGTGTAGTTGTGTGTGTAGTTGTGTGTAGTTGTGTGTAGTTGTGTGTAGTTGTGTGTAGTGTGTAGTTGTGTGTAGTTGTGTGTAGTTGTGTGTGTAGTTGTGTGTAGTTGTGTGTGTAGTTGTGTGTAGTTGTGTGTAGTTGTGTGTAGTTGTGTGTGTTGTGTGTAGTTGTGTGTGTGTGTGTGTAGTTGTGTGTGTAGTTGTGTGTAGTTGTGTGTGTTGTGTGTAGTTGTGTGTAGTTGTGTGTGTAGTTGTGTGTGTATAGTTGTGTGTGTAGTTGTGTGTGTTGTGTGTGTGTAGTTGTGTGTTAGTGTTGTGTAGTTGTGTGTGTTGTGTGTAGTTGTGTGTAGTTGTGTGTGTGTGTGTGTAGTTGTGTGTAGTTGTTGTGTAGTTGTGTGTGTTGTGTGTAGTTGTGTGTAGTTGGTGTGTAGTTGTGTGTAGTTGTGTGTAGTTGTGTGTGTTGTGTGTAGTTGTGTGTGTTGTGTGTGTAGTTGTGTGTAGTTGTGTGTGTGTGTAGTTGTGTGTAGTTGTGTGTGTTGTGTGTAGTTGTGTGTGTGTGTGTAGTTGTGTGTAGTTGTGTGTAGTTGTGTGTAGTTGTGTGAGTTGTGTGTAGTTGTGTGTGTGTGTGTTGTTAGTTGTGTGTAGTTGTGTGTGTAGTTGTGTGTGTGTGTGTGTGTTGTAGTTGTGTGTGTAGTTGTGTGTAGTTGTGTGTAGTTGTGTGTGTAGTTGTGTGTGTTGTGTGTGTGTAGTTGTGTGTAGTTGTGTGTAGTGTTGTGTGTGTAGTTGTGTTGTGTGTGTTGTGTGTGTAGTTGTGTGTAGTTGTGTGTTAGTTGTGTGTAGTTGTGTGTGTAGTTGTGTGTGTAGTTGTGTGTAGTTGTGTGTAGTTGTGTGTGTAGTTGTGTGTAGTTGTGTGTACCTCTCACGGTGATGTTGCGTGCGTCCCGAGCTGCTCCGTACTGATTGGTGGATTCACACTGGTAGTGGGCGGAGTCTTGCAGCTGGGCGGACGATAGGTTGAAGAACAGGAGGTGGGTGGAGTTTTCTCTGTGAAGCTCCGCCCCGTTCCTGCTCAGGACCAGCGCGTAGGGGGCGGGGGGCTCCGTCTGACTGACAGGTGAGAGTGAGGCTCTGCCCCTCCAGCACCTGCTCCGGGCTCACCGACAGGGACACGATCTGAGGGGGGGCTGAGCAGGAGAGAGAGCAACAGTCACTGACAGGGACACGCTCTGAGGGGGGGCTGAGCAGGAGAGAGAGCAACAGTCACTGACAGGGACAGTCTGAGGGGGGGCTGAGCAGGAGAGAGAGCAACAGTCACTGACAGGGACACGCTCTGAGGGGGGGTTCAGCAGGAGAGAGAGCAACAGTCACTGACAGGCACACGTCTGCAGGCGCAACTAAAGGAGGAAACACCAGGACTAAACCGGGACTAAACCGGGATTAAACAAGGACTAAACCAGGACTAAATCAGGTCTAAACCAGGTCTAAACCAGGACTAAACCCTGACTAAACCAGGTCTAAACCAGGACTAAACCAGGACTAAACCAGGTCTAAACGCGGACTAAACCAGGTCTAAACCCGGACTAAACCAGGACTAAACCCGGACTAAACCCGGACTACACCAGGTCTAAACCAGGACTAAACCAGGTCTAAACCAGGACTAAACCAGGACTAGTCTTTTTACTCACACATGAGCTGGACCTGGACTCTGGTCTCTGTGGTCCTCTGGTCTGGACTCAGTTGGGGCAGGTCCATCGTGGCTCTGCAGATAAACTCCAGTTCTTGTTCCTGGTCCAGGTCCAGGTCCCGGTCCCGGTCCGGGTCTCGGTCTCTGAAGTCCGGTCTCTGGGGGGTGTAGTTCAGCTGGGACCGGACCACCGTGGACCCGGAGTCCCCGCTGGTCCTGGTCAGGGTCCGGTTGGTCCTGATCCAGACCAGGTTCAGGAGCTCGGGGGGGTACATGTCCCGGACCTCACAGACCAACGAGGACGGGACCGAGACCTGGACCGAGACCGGACCTGAGACCAGAGGAGCAGACGGAAGAGCTGACCGCAGGAAGAGAGGGAGAGAGGAGAGGAGAGGAGAGGAGAGAGGAGGAGAAAAGAGGGGGAAAAAAAGGAGGAGGAGAAAGGAGGAAAGGAGCGGAGAGAGAAGAGAGGAAGAGAAAAGAGGGGAAGGAGGAAAGAGGAACGAAGAGAAGAGAGGAGAAGGAGAGAGAGGAAGAGGAAGAGGAGAGAGGGGGAGGAGGAGAGGTGGAGAAGAAAAGAGGGGAGGAGAGAGAGACAGAGAGAATAGAGAGGAAGAGGAGGAGATGGAGGAGGTGAAAAGAGGGAGAGGAGGAGAGAGAGAGAGAAGAGGAGGAGAGAGGAAGGAGAAGGAGGAGAGGAGGAAGAGAAAAGACAGAGAGGAAGAGAGAAGAGAAGAGAAGAGAAAAGAGAAGAGAGGGTGAGGAGAGAGAGGGAGAGGAAGAGGAGAAAAGAGGGGGAGGAGAGCAGGAGGAAGAGAAAAGAGGGAGGACGAAAAAGAGGACGAGGAGAGAGAGAGAAGAGAGGAAGAGAAAAGAGAGGAAGAAGGATAGAGGAAAGAAGAGGAGGAGGAGAGAGAGACGGAGAGAAGAGAGAAGGAGAGGAGGAGGAGACGGAGGAGGTGAAAAGAGGGAGAGGAGGGAGAGGAAGAAAAAAGGAGGAGGAGAAAGGAGAAGAGGAGCAGAGAGAGAAGAGCGGAAGAGAAAAGAGGGGACGGAGGAAAGAGGAACGAAGAGAAGAGATGAGAAGGAGAGAGAGGGAGAGAAGGAGGGGGTGGAGAAGAAAAGAGGGTGAGGAGAGAGGGAGAGGAAGAGGAAAAAAGAGGGGGAAGAGGACAGGAGGAAGAGAAAAGAGGGAGGAGGAAAAAGTTTACGAGGAGAGAGAGAGAAGAGAGGAAAGAAGGAGGAGGAGAAAGGAGGAGAGGAGCAGAGGGAGAAGAGAACGGAGGAAGAGAAAAGAGGGGGAGGAGGAGAGAGGGACGACGAGAAGAGAGGAGAAGGAGAGAGAGGGAGAGGAAGAGGAGAGAGGGGGAGGAGGAGAGGTGGAGAAGAAAAGAGGGTGAGGAGAGAGAGACAGAGAGAATAGAGAGGAAGAGGAGGAGATGGAGGAGGTGAAAAGAGGGAGAGGAGGAGAGAGAGAGAGAAGAGGAGGAGAGAGGAAGGAGAAGGAGGAGAGGAGGAAGAGAAAAGACAGAGAGGAGGAGAGAAGAGGAGAAAAGAGGAGAAGGAGAAGAGAAGAGAGAGAGAGGAGAGAGAGGGAGAGGAAGAGGAGAAAAGAGGGGGAGGAGAGCAGGAGGAAGAGAAAAGGGAGACGAAAAAGGACGAGAGAGAGAGAGAAGAAGGAAGAGAAAAGAGAGGAAGAAGGATAGAGGAAAGAAGAGGAGGAGGAGAGAGAGACGGAGAGAAGAGAGAAGGAGAGGAGGAGGAGACGGAGGAGGTGAAAAGAGGGAGAGGAGGGAGAGGAAGAAAAAAGGAGGAGGAGAAAGGAGAAGAGGAGCAGAGAGAGAAGAGCGGAAGAGAAAAGAGGGGACGGAGGAGAGAGGAACGAAGAGAAGAGATGAGAAGGAGAGAGAGGGAGAGAAGGAGGGGGTGGAGAAGAAAAGAGGGTGAGGAGAGAGGGAGAGGAAGAGGAAAAAAGAGGGGGAAGAGGACAGGAGGAAGAGAAAAGAGGGAGGAGGAAAAAGTTTACGAGGAGAGAGAGAGAAGAGAGGAAAGAAGGAGGAGGAGAAAGGAGGAGAGGAGCAGAGGGAGAAGAGAACGGAAGGAAGAGAAAGAGGGGGAGGAGGAGAGAAGGGACGACGAGAAGAGAGGAGAAGGAGAGAGAGGGAGAGGAAGAGGGGGAGGAGGAGAGGTGGAGAAGAAAAGAGGGTGAGGAGAGAGAGACAGAGAGAATAGAGAGGAAGAGGGAGGAGATAGGAGGTGAAAAGAGGAGAGGAGGAGAGAGAGACGAGAAGAGGAGGAGAGAGGAAGGAGAAGGAGGAGAGGAGGAAGAGAAGAGAAGACGAGAGGACGAGGAGAGAAGAGGAGAAAAGAGGAGAAGGAGAGGAGGAGGAGAGAGAGAAGAGAAGAGAGAAGGAGGGAAAGGAGGGGGAAGAGAAGAGGAGAAGAGAGAGGAGGGAAAAAAAGGGGGGAAGAGGAAAAACAGGAGGAGAAGAGAGGAGAGGAAGAGGAGGAGTGTAAGTTTAATGTCGCACTGAGGAACAAAAGAACAACATCATGGAGACGAGCAGCTGCAGCAACGTCCACCAGAAATGTCCCGTACTGC